GGCGGCTGCGGGGCGCGGGGCGGCGGCTCGGCGGGCACGGCTCGGTGGGTCCCGGCTGCCGCTCGCTGCTCGCTCCGGGCGCCGATGCGCTGCTCCGGGTGAGCCCGAGAGCCAGAGTGCGCGGCTGTGCGGGAGGGGACGCCGGCGAGGCTCTTTTGTTTCCGCTTTTGCTTCTGGGAAGGAGCCGCACAGCCCCGCCCCCACCGCGCCCGCGCCGCGTGGCACGCTGGGAAATGTAGTTCATCCGCCTCTGCCAGCGGTCCGATCGCTCTCGCTGACCTTCCCGCGCCTGGGCGGGAGCAGCTGGGTTGCAGGTGGCTCCTGCAGTCAACGTCCCACGCCGCGTCGCGCCTCGGTACAGTGAGGTAAGAGACGGGCTCCGGGCGCGCTAAGAGCCATTTCTGAGTGTTCAGTGAACTATTCTTTATGCAGTAGGAACTACAGTTTCTCGTTATTTTTACCTTTACAGATCTCATTGTCTTAAATACAAAATCGTTTCAATTCTCCTCCCTTCCACACATGCTTGGGTTCGTTCATGCCCATTACAACTCCATAGCTCTTCTTTGAGAGGAGAAAGCGCCTTCGTCCAGTGCACTTTGTGCACCCTCTGTTCCCCTTGGAACTCAGCTCCAGGCTCACCAGCTCCGGCCCTAGGCGCTGCCTTCTCCGGCAGTACACTGAGCGCACCGCCCACTCCCGCGATTCCTGTGAACCTGTGCTCACTAAAAGGTGACTTCAGCCTGCAGCACCAACAGAAGCCGATTTCTCTTAGGTCACAGTTGAGCTTCTCATTACTAAATTCAGCGAACTGTCCTCCGCAACGTTTTTTGGTCTGTTGGGTGAGGAAGGGGCAACATTTTGTGTTTCCAACAGAAAGCGCCACCTCTGGACCCGGTGGCCCCAAGGCACCTCAGCAGGAAGGTCTTACAGGTCTCTGACTCTTGTTTCTCTTCACCAGATCATTTGAAACATTAGTGTCCCTGAGTTCTGAGACTTGACCTCTAGGAGACAAACTTCATCCTTTCCCCAGCCTGAAACTCAGGGCCCAGCAGGCCTGAAGAGCCTGGGTTTTCTAGAACGCACCGAGTTCTTGCTTTCCTTGCATCTGACCACCTTCCCCTTCCTTTTTTCCGTTTGCCCTGTAGCTTCTTTTATACCTGACTTGGGCTTGTCTCTGCCCTTAATCCACTCCACGCTCTTCGGGTAACTGCTCCTGTTGCTACAGGGCGAAACCTTTTTTGTACTCCGATCTCTCCAAAGAAAAGGGTCTCATTGATGTAATTCATCTTTTCACTCTAGGCTATAAATTGTTATTTAATACATCAGGACTCCTCTTAGGCTAGGTTATCATCCATGGCCCAATAGGATATAGAAAGCTTGAGTTTTGTTTTGTGCGGTGGCATGTGGTGCAGTGCTTGGGATGGAGCCCAGGACCTCGTGCATGCAAAGCACAGATTCTACTTCCAGGCTACATCCCTATTCTAGCTTGGAAGGGTGGAAAGCACTTTTGGATCAAGGGGTTGACTCGCTGATCGAATCACTGTATTGCTTATACACTTTTATGGTGTCATGGATCCCCAATGCCTCAGCTTAGTGCAAAGCACCTTTCACAGTTTATCCCCAAACTTCTCCTTTCCATCTTTGACTATAATTAATTAGTGTCACATGATTTAAAAAAAAGTTTATTTGGTACATGGTCTCACTATGCAGCTCCTTTTTTTTATACATATATTTGGTACAGGGTCTCACTGCGCAGCTTAGACTCATAGTGATGCTCCTGTTTTCAGCCTCCCAAGTGCTGTGATTACAGGTGTGCACCACCACGGCCAATCTCTGTGTCACATGATTTTACACATCCATTTATTCAGATGACCTCCTACCATTTGCCTCATAATCTCCCACAGTCCTTGTAGACTCAACTTGAATGATACATGATATTCTCTGCAACTTATTTACTAAAGTGGATTTATTAATATTTATATTAGTCTTTTAATTGCAGAAACAATGTTCTTTAGAGATGTCATTGATCTTATTTATGGCTGGTTATGTCATTAAAATGTGAATTCTAAGGACATGTGGAAAGTGTCTTACTTTCCTTTATTTAGTAATATAAAACTTATAGGGCTGAGGAGATAGGCTGATAGCCTAAATGCCTTCCTGACAAGTGCAAGGTCCCATGTTCAATCCCTGGTACTGCATGCCATGCTGGCCGTGGAGTCACACATGGTGCCCACCACTGAAAACAGGCATAGTGATGCATGTCTGTAATTCCAGCTCTGTATAAGATATATATATATATATATATATATATATATATATATATATATATCTTATAAATCATGAAATGCCATCATATACAAACACAGAATTTGATGAAGTTTGACAAATGAATATATTTGTGAAATAATTGAAATCTAGAACACTTCTATCATTCACTGAAAATTCCCCTATGACCTCCTCTAGTCACTCTCCACCAAAACAGGAAATGATGCCATAGATCAATCCAATCTGGCTTTGGATGTCATACAAAATGGGATAACACAATCCGTACTCTTTTCTGTTTGAATTCTTCAGCTGCACATAATATTTATGATTCTTGTATCTTGTTGAACACATGCGTGGCTCGTTCTTTTTAATTACTGAGTAGTGCCTTATGTTATAAAACTATGATAATAGTTTTTACCCTTGAGTTAATGAGCATTTTGGTTATTTTCAGTTTGGGTTCATTGTAATTAAAGCTATTATGAGTATTGAAGTATATGTCTTTGTGTGAGCTTGATTCCTGGTACCCCCTCAAAAAAAAAAAACTAAATAAAGAATAGTGTGTGTGTAACATCATAAACAGCTACTAAATAATCTTTAAAAGTGCTTATGCAACTTTAAGGTGTCAATAGCACTGTATGACTGTTGTTTCTTCTACATTTGTGAGCATTTGGCGTTGCCCATACCTTCTTATTCCTGTCACATCATGTGGCACGTGTAGAATGCCCCATATATGCTCAGAGGACAACTGTGAGTTTTGTAAGTGGTTGAACATAGATTTCAAGAACTGTTAATCAGATCAGATCTCCTTTATTCTTAGTAATATTTTTATCTACTCTGATTATCAGACAAAAGCCCCAACACAAATATCTCCAACTTATTGTAAATTTTCTTTTCTCATCCTAATTCTCTCAATTTTTGTTCCACACATTTTGAAACTGTGGTATAAGATACACTATTGCCAGTGAAGCAGAAGACGCAATACTATTATGGGCTACTGGACTCTTTTAGAATATTTTGCTGAGTTTACACACCTATAATATTCAAATAACGGAACTTAACAAAAATGGGTATACAGATGAATGTCCATTTTGTATCTGTGTATTCAAAGTGGTTAGGATAGATATATAGTTGCATTCTCTTAATGAATAGAGGGATTTGTTCTAATGGTGTTTGTAAATAGGATATCATGTCCGCATCTTGTACAGCAATTAATCACTAGGAAGAATGTATGTAATGTGTTATTTATTAAAACTGTCCTACAAATTTGATTTGAAACTGTCTCATTGCTATTTTTTATCAATAAAATTATGGAGGAAAAAAGATATACATACACTTATAAGCATCATGCCTACTCAATAAAATATTTTATCATTTCTAAAAAGTTCTTTGTATTTTAAGTTTACTTGTCCTGAAATCTAATTGCATGATATTAATGTAGCCACATCATCTTTATGATACTATTTACTTGGTATATTTTTATATCTACTTGTTTTCAATGTTTATTTTTAAAAATTGGCTTTAACTGATGCCTAAAAATAGAATTTAAACATATTAATTTACTTTTGTGTTCTTACAATTTAAGAGTTTCTTGGAACTGGGTTATAGCTCAGTAGTAGAGTGCTTACCTAGTGAGTAGACAGACAGACAGACAGGTAGATAGACAGACAGACAGACAGATAGATAAATGGATGATAGATAGATGTCAGGGCAGGGGTGACAAGTTCCTTAGTTGAAGTGATTCATTTCTTTCCTCCTTTTTACCCTGGTCCTATGCAGGTGTAGTGGCAGGAAGTGTGACATTCTTCTGCAGTAACTCTGCACAGTTAATATTTTGAAAAGCATTAGGAAACAAAAGCAGAGTAAAAAGATGTCACTGCCATACTAAAATCTTGGCTGATGCTAAGAATACAGCTATCAACATAAGCTGGCAATTTTCAAACTACAGTGTGCAAACCTGAACTCTAGCATGTTAGAATCAATTAATGAGCTTTAAAAAAGAGCAAATGTCCAGGCTTTACTGAAGTCTCCTTAAAGACTTCAGTGTGTTTAAGGTAGTGTGTTCTTGGTAGGCGTTCTAAAACAGAAGTTCTTCAATGTTCTTGCTTCTGAGACAACATATATAAAGGAGAAAAGGTTTATCTTGGGACACAGTTTTAGCAGTCTCAGCCCATAGTCAGATGGCTCAATGCAGGGCAGCATGGCAGAGGAGCATCAGAGAGGAGAAATAGCCCATAGCGAAGCAGGTGTGAGCAGCATTGGCTGCAGCGGTGGCAGCAGCAGCAGCAGCAGCAGCAGCAGCAGCAGCAGCAGCAGCAGCGAGTCTTCCTTTCCTTTTAATGTTATCCAGGATACAAGACTATTGGGCAGTATCACCGACACCCAGGGTGGGCCTTCCCCTTATCCACACCCAGAACTCTGCTAAGTCATTTGACTAACTTGGTTATCACATACCCTCAATCCTATATTCACACACTCTAGATCTGCCACCTCAACAGGCTCCTCCTATGAGCTCATGAGGCTTTGGGAGGCCATCTAGGTATAAGCCACAATACAGAGTTTCCCAAATTTTAACATGTTCTCAAATGACAACATGTATCAGTCTGATGCAGTAGGTCCTGGGTGGGGTCCAAGAAGTTCTGTTTCTAACAACTTCCCAGGCATGCTTTGTTGCAGGTTCTAGAACACACTGCGAGATTTGCTGATCTGAATCTTTGTATTGCAAAATGTGGTCCCTGAGTGAGCAACATCAGCATCACCCACAAACTTCCTGGCAATGAAGCCTCTGAGGCCCCACCCCGGATGGGCTGCATCCAGCCTCACAGTCATGTGATCGATCCTAGGTGATTCAGATGGACATTAGCATTGGAGAAGCACTTACAGGGTGAGATATACAAGGAGCTGCTAAGATGCAATTTCCTTTATGGAGTCTGATTTAGTACATAAGTCTTGAATAAAGGTCTGAGGTCTATACTTTTGAACAAGTTTCCTTGGAAGTTTGGAGGCAGATATCTGAGGATGACATTTTTGAGAATCTCTGCCTTAGGCATATTTTTGTATGTGCCTAAGCCTCAATTTCCTCACCTATAAACAAGGCAATGAG